GCTTAAAATGCAAAAATAGCAAATAATAATCTGCTAAGGGGATGCGGTAATCTTTCAACATAACGTTGAGGTCATAATGAGTGAGTTACTGTCATATAACCCCACTATGCACCTTTAAAGTGCTGATTTGTTATTTACAGATGTGCAGGTTGCTGGATGTTTTTATTGCTAAAGATAACCTTTGCATGCTTCTGTGTAAACCACAGAAATGAAAACACTGCTGAATGCTTCCCATTGATTCCAACCATCGGTTTCAGATGGCCATCTTAATGCCTACAGGTCGGGCACTATGGGTTACTGTGAGATCATGAACAGAGATATTGCTGCAAAGAAGTAATCACAAAGTAGAGCTATAAAATCAAAGAGGAAGAAACTGGAAATCTGTCATCTTTATCAGAAGACTCTTCACTAATCAGAATCTTAGTGCTTGTTAATACCATTCTAATCGCTCGCATTCATCACATTGTTGTGGGTTTATTTATGTTTATTCAACACTGAAGAATACCCATTAGAGAGCGGACAGCTGTGGTGTTTATAGAGACAGAAAAGGCTTTGACTTCCCTTCAAGAGGTTAACATACCTCAGAGATAACAGGCTTGCAGTAGCCAGCTCCGAACACAAGGTTCTCTACAGAAACAGCAGATGGGTCGCTCACGCTCTCTGGCGAGCCTTTCCCCAGCCAGGAGCCCTTCCCTGTGCGTGCAAAGCTGGAGAAGATAGAGCACAATAGAGGAACAAACAGTGACTGAGTGTCTCTGTGTCAGCAAAGAAAAACAAACAGAGCAGCAAACATGGAATCCTAGATTATTACATTGTCTGTTGAATGGATCAGATGAGCTTTTAAAAGAAACTTAGAGAAATAGCATTAAAAAAGGAGTAAAATAGCTATATGGCGGTCCAAATAATATTTTATTTAAAAGGTATTGAAATGATCTGTTAAGACGTTAGTTATTAATAACCTATATTCAGGGATCTCTGCCTATATCCACCATATTGTTTTCCACAGAAAGATCATAGTAACAAAATATGATTTTTAGAGCTTCACCTTTCGCTTTTCCCCAGATTTGATTAATATATTACGTTCTGTTTTTTGATTAATCAAATAATCAAATTTTGTGTGTGTGGCTGATAGTCTTTCTGTTTCGTTTATTTGTTTGTTTGTTTGTTTTCTCTTTTGTTTTGTTGTTATTTAATTATAACGTTTTTACTGTACTTTACAACGATATTAATGAGAAGAAAATAGTTTCTATTTTATAATTGTAAAGTTTTGTCATAATTACCGCTCTATGTTATTCTTTAGGTAAATTGTGTGGTTTAATTTAGTGCAGAGGTATGAAACTGACCGTGGACATCCTCTAAAATAACTACTTCACACTAAATTATCTATACATATAAAGTGAAATAATTTTATTAATCTTTAAGTAAATAATTTTCCTGACATCTAAGTACTCAATTTGTTATTTAAAATGTGTTTTCATTTATTAATTTAACTAAGGTTTATTACAACATTGATGTTTGAATCACATATTAGATTAGGGGTTCATAAAGTGGGGATGGAGAGATACCAGGTAATGGTACATGGAGGGCCAAATTAAAATCCCACTATATATCTGTATTTATTGATTTATTTAATTTATTTATGTATTTCTGTATTTATTAATTTATTTTTTATGTATTTATGTATGTATACATTTATTCATTTATGCATTTATTTAGTACATGATCAAATTAAATAATTCCCAATTCCTTAAAATGACTAATTAATTGAGTAAATGGCATTAAAAAGAAATGTATCTTAAAAGAATAGTACACCCAAAACATCTGGTCTGGTCTGCTGGCTTCCGTAGTGTCGTGAACTCGCAGGCGCGCGCTTTCAGGAAATCCTATACACTACTGTTTATGCTCTAAAACATTCTAAATGACTTTGTTTCGAGTAAATTCTGGATGCTACCCACTCAGGACACTTGGAATACATTGGACGAGCAGTATGGAGGAATATTGACACGTTTTTTGTGGACTTTTATGGACCTTTCGGTCACCATAGACCTCCATTATTTGAATGTCAGCAGACAGCAAGAAGCCTCCCAGAGCTCCAGATG